ATATATATATATATATATATATATATATATATATATATATATATATATATATATATATACTAGAAAGTTTGTGTATGTGTTGTGCGGTGCGGTGCAGTTTGCACCGTGGTTCCGCAATTAAAAACCGCAAACTGCACCATATAGTGTGGTTTTAAAAAGTTACAAACTACAAACCGCACCGTTGAATATCTAAACTGCATTTTGTTGTGCGGTGTGGTGTGATGCAAACGTTTTATGTGGTTTGTACGGTTTAATATACATCCCTGGTTTAAACAGTAACGAATCTAAAAAAACTATCAAAGGATGTTAAAAAACTAATACTAAAAGAATTGTACCATCTATATATATAGTAGCCTTTCTCAGGGCATCTCCAACCCACCCTCAAACTCCATTTCTTCCCCCATTCTTCTCCAACCCTACCCCATTTTCACCTCTATTTTTGGAGATATGAATAGTATTTCCCCATATATGGGGGAATACTATTCATATCTTCAAAAATGGAGGTGAAGTTTGGTTGCCAATTTTAGTCCCTCTTATTTTTATTTTATACATTTCTAGTTTATTTTATCTACTAATTATAATTTAAATGCAATATTTAATATTTATAATATCATGTTATATACTAATTTATATTAATTAATCATAAATATATAGTTTAATTAGTAGAGGGTGTATTTGACAATATATATATAAGTTATAAAAATGGAATATTTTAAGAATATACTTTTTGGGGTAAAAAATTGAGGAGAAAATAAAGTAGGGTTGGAGATGAAATACTATTTACTTCATTTTTTACTCCATTGTTTACTCCATTTATGGGGGAAAATGGAAATGGGTCGGAGATGGTCTCATACAATTGAAAGGGTAATTCCTTACGGCCACACAAAAACCCCTTTAATATATATTTATTAACTTTTTTTATAGAAAAATGGGCTAAACATATGCCCTCTCAAAGCACCTTGGCTATATTAAAAAATAATAATAACAATAATAAAATATGAGCAACTATCCTATCTAAAATATGGTCAAATCAAATGTGCTTAACAGAAATGATTTTAGTAAAATTCCTTTATTTTAATCCAATTTTGTCGTGCAGTCAGTTGCGGTGCGGTGCTGGTTATTATCGAGACTAACAGAGTGAAATGAAACATTGGCACCATGTGTGGCGACAATTAAACCTGCAACTTTCCCCACCACATTCCAAATGAATTACAATGTGCATCCTAGTTTCTACGCCACCAGTTTTCGGTTTTGAGTTCGTCTTTTACATCGTTACCCGATGCCACTTGAACCAGTTTTATCTGCTCAGCAAGGGCATTTTGGAAGGGAGATTTTGGAATTTGGAGTTTCGAGTATTAAGGATAGAGATAAAGATAGTGACAGATGGATTTGTGATTCTCTTGGTTTTCTTGGAATCTTCCTGTTACCTTTTCCTTGGTCCATGCCATCTTTAGAAAAGGTTACAATGTTTCTCTCTTTTTAATCTTTTCAGTAAGAAACTGCATTGCATTTGTTGAAGTTAATCCCGATTTATGCTAATGAAGAAGCCAAGCCAAATCAAGAATTCAGTATTAAGAAGATGAAGATGGTGGGAAATGAAATTGATATGTGGGAAGTTGAAGAACAAACTCAATCATTTACAACAAGTGTGCTTATTCTGTACCTTCTTCTAATCTTTTGCATAGAACCCACTTCAAACTGTAAGAAAGCTTCCATGGATGTTCTTGAAAATGAAATTAGGAGAGTCTGAGGAGCGAGCCATTAACAACAATAACACTACTGAGGCACCTTCATCATCATCAGGCGGAAGCAACATGAACCCAACAGATAAAAACCCGACCTTGGCTCAATATGGTACTGATGCGAGGTTATTGTCAGGATTTGAGCATTCTGTCGGAGCTGGTAAGTCTGTTAACTGTTCGAATTTGCTTACAAATGCACCAAAAGCTGTGGACGGACAACAAATGACAGCTTATTTTGATACAATTCAAAGGGGTGGCTTTGTTCAACCTTTTGGTTGTATGATCGCAATTGAAGAACCCACTTTTAGAATTATAAGTTTTAGTGAAAACTGTTTTAGTATGTTGAGTTTGAATATGAACAAGAACAGTCTCCTTGGAATCGATGCAAGAACCCTTTTCACCTCAAATTCCCGGGAATCATTAGAAAGAGCCGTAGCTTCTAGAGAAATCACTTTGTTAAACCCGATTTGGGTTCACTCTAAAAGTACCCATAAACCATTTTACGCGATTCTCCATAGGATCGATGTGGGTGTCATAATTGATTTAGAGCCTGCTAATTCCGGCGACCCCACACTACTTCTTGCTGGTGCGGTTCAGTCACAAAAACTTGTCGTTAGAGCAACTTCTAGGCTGCAATCTCTCCCTGGAGGAGACATCGGGGCTTTATGTGACACTGTTGTTGAAGAAGTTCAAAAGCTTACAGGTTACGACAGGGTTATGGTTTACAAGTTTCACGATGACGAACATGGTGAAGTTGTTTCAGAAATCCGAAGACCCGATTTAGAACCGTATTTGGGACTTCACTATCCTGCAACAGACATCCCACAAGCAGCTCGATTCTTGTTCAAACAGAATCGTGTAAGGATAATAGTTGATTGTGATGCGGAATCTGTTCGAGTGATTCAAAGTGATGAGTTAAAGCAACCTTTATGTTTAGTTAATTCCACCCTTCGAGCTCCGCATGGGTGCCATGTGGTTTACATGGCTAACATGGGTTCCATCGGGTCTTTAGTGATGGCAATTATTGTAAATAACAATGAATCCATGAAGCTATGGGGGTTGGTGGCATGCCACCACACTTCTCCCCGTTATATCCCGTTCCCACTTCGATATGCATGTGAGTTTCTAATGCATTCAGTTGGTTTACAACTTTACATGGAGCTTCAATTAGCCGAACAAAAAGCCGAAAAAAGGGTACTCGGTAGGCAAACAACCTTATGTGACATGGTACTTAGAGATTCCCCTTTTTCAATTATAACTCAGTCTCCTAGCATAATGGATTTAGTGAAATGTGATGGGGCGAGTTTATATTACAATGGGAAAGTTTGGTTACTTGGTGTAACTCCAAATGAATCACAAGTTATGGATATAGCTGAATGGTTGTGTAGTGAGCATAAGGACTCAACGGGGTTTAGTACTGAGAGTTTGTTGAATGCGGGTTACCCTGGTGCGGTTTTGCTTGGTGATGCGGTTTGTGGTATGGTTGCTGCACGAATCACTTGTAAAGATTTCTTGTTTTGGTTTAGATCACATAAAGAAAAAGAAACGAAATGGGCAGGGGCTAAGCATCACCCTGAGGATGAAGATGATGCTAATAGAATGCATCCAAGATCTTCTTTTAAGGCGTTTCTTGAAGTGGAAAAAAGTCGAAGTTTACCATGGGAAGTTTCTGAGATTAATGTGATTCATTCTTTGCAGCTGATAATGAGATCATCGGTTCATGATGCTGTTGGTGATGGTGGTGGGGGTAAGGTGGTGAAATATGGTCAAGAAAGTGAGAATATAAGTCAAGGGATCAGTTTGGTTGCATGTGAAATGGTGAGATTGATTGAAACGGCGTCTGTCCCGATCTTTGGGGTTGATGGGTGTGGTTTGATCAACGGGTGGAATGCAAAAATTGCAGAGTTGACCGGTGTGATGGCTAGTGAGGCTATGGGGAAGTCTTTGGTTGATGAATTTATACATGAAACTTCGTGTGAAGTTGTTAAAGATCTTCTACTTAGAGCTTTGCAAGGTACATGTTTTATCGAAATTTAAGTATTTAATTTCACATGAAGAATTCTTAGGGTAATGACTAATGAGAAATGCAACTTGGTTGTTAGTTTTAATGTAACTTTTCATGTAAAAGGTGATGCAGGGGTATTTTTAGTCTCACTCTCACATGCTTTGTTTATACAGGTGAAGAAGCAAAAAATGTGGAGTTGAAACTACGTAAGGCTGATATGGACCCGAAAAACAACTCCATTATATACATCATGGCTAATACATGCACAAGCCGGGACTACATGAACAATGTGATAGGAGTATGCTTCGTGGGTCAAGATGCAACAACCGAGAAAATTGTCATGGATAAATTTGTACGTATGGAAGGAGATTATAAAGCGATTATCCAAACTTTAAATCCTTTAATTCCTCCTTTATTTGCTTCCAATGAGGATGCTTGTTGTTCTGAATGGAATGCAGCCATGGAAGAACTTACTGGTCACCGGAGACATGAAGTTCTTGGAAAAGTGCTTCCTGGAGAGGTTTTTGGGGGTTTATGTCGACTCAAAGATGAAGATACACTTGTGAAGTTTATGATATTGTTGCATAGAACAATCAATGGTCATGATACTTCGGATATGCCATTTGGGTTTTTTGGGAAAGATGGGAATCTTGTGGAAGTTTACTTGACAGCAAATAAAAGAGTTGGAGAAGGTGGAAAAGTTTTTGGGTGTTTTTTCTTTTTGCAGACTAGTGCAGGACTTAAAGGAGGTGGTGAAGATGATGGAGAATTTGTGTTGAAACGTGATAATTTGGCGTATATTAAGCAAGAAATAAAGAACCCATTAAATGGGCTGTGTTTCACTCATAAACTTCTTGAAAACTCGGGTCTTTCGGATGATCAGAGGCAGTATCTAGAGACGAGTGTTGCTTGTGAGAGACAAATTGCATCAATCATTGAGGACTTGGATATAAAAAGTATTGAAGAGGGGTAAGAGTCTTAATTCTAGCTTTAAGGTGCTGTTTCTTTTTTACTTGATCTGGTATGCGATATATGGGTGTTTCTTTTTGACTTCATGCTCAAAGAATGACTTAATACAGAAAGGTAAGGAGATGTGGTTGTCCCCATTAAGTCCTAAGTTTTTACAAATTCTATCTCCTTTTTTTTTCTTCCACTTCCCCAAGTGTGTCATCATTTCTCCAATATATTTTAAGCATCATTTATTCTGACAACCCTTTCTCGTTGTCTGTTGTCTGTTGTTTGTTGCATGTTGCAACATGTTGCATGGTGTGTGATTTTCATTTTGCAGGAGCATGGAGCTGAACATGGACCAATTTGTGATGGAGAATCTTTTAGATGCCATTGTGAGCCAAGTCATGATGGTGTTGAAGGAAAAGAATATACCACTAGTTCATGAAATACCTGATCAAGTCAAAACGCTTGCTCTTATTGGTGATCAAATTAGGTTGCAGATGGTGTTATCAGATTTCTTGCTCAGCATTGTGCATCATGCACCTTCACAGAACGGGTGGGTGGAGATCAAAGTGTCACCTGGACTACGGATGATACAGGATGGACATGAGTTCATTCATCTTCAGTTCAGGTGTCGTTTATGTCTTTGCTTTTTTTCCTTTTTTCTTTATGTCTTGAATAATCTGAATCAAGTAGGATGTTATAATACACAATGAAAGTACATTGTTATTTCTTGCACTTAGCACTTATTGACCATCTTGTTCTTGTAGAATGGCTCATCCGGGCCCGGGGTTACCTGCAAATATCATCGGAGACATGTATGAAGACCGAAAAGAATGGGGTACACAAGAAGGACTTGCTTTGAATATTTCTAGGAAACTTCTTGGCATCATGAAAGGCCATGTTCATTATGTTAGAGATGAAAATAAATGTTGCTTCCTTATTGAGATCCAACTTAAAACTAGAAAATAAAGATGCGAAATCAAGAATCTTGTTGACATCAACTGCATTATGTCCAAATGTAAATAATCATCATGTTCAAATGTGGAGGTTGTTGATTTTTATTCCAGTTTTTATAATGTTTATAATTTAGATTACCAAATCTTGATGCGGTGATGAAATCAAATCCAATTCAAAAAAGAAAGTAGGCTTTTCTGAGGTCAAACCTAGTGCTTTTCTGGTTGAAAACTGGTGTCCGTTTTGTGATGAAATCGTTGGGAGTCTGAATCCATGTCAATTTTAAGTTGAAAAGAATCTTTGACTACTAAACTCGAAATGTAACAACTTGTTGCATGGGCTGTTTTTTTGTGATGAGATTAGATAAAAAGGGCATTTACATTTTTATTTATGAGATGAAAGGGCATTTACGTCTTTTAAACATCCATCCTCAATGCATACCTAACTCAGTATAATTTGCATTGTTCAGTGTAACAAAACAAGGCCCAAAAATCTAAACATGGTTATAATATAATACACATTTTAATACATCAAATACAAGTCATTACATCACAATAACCACATATTCAACCTGTAAAATGACTTCTACAAGAAACAGTTGTTCCTCTAAACATGAAACCTGCTCATAACAACTAAAAGGATTGGAGCAATACACCCACCATAAACACAAAAACAAAGATTTTTCCAACTTCAGTTCCCATCAGTTTTTCGTCAAATAGTGAACCAAAGATGAGATTTAAAACACATGAAAAGTCAATTCTACCCCCCACAGGCCCTCACTATACAATTGGCAAGAAACCCTTTTGAGACTTCACCATTTTTTTACTCCAATAAATACCAAGAACCCCAAAACGAAGAGACGATGAACAGAAGATTCGACCAATCGGCAACCTCCACCTGTACATTGCAATCATTCGCCTCTTCCAAAAGCCAAAACACATATTCCTTTTGATCATCTGGTTTCTTTTTTAAATTATCTTTCCGAAAATACACAAAATCTGCACCTTTTTTTCTTTTTCCTTTTTGGTGCGATTTTCTCCTAGTTCTTCTATACACTGTATGTACGGATGGAAAAGCAGCAGTCTTGGGTAATGAGTATTATTTAGACACTAACAAGACTGCTGCTTCACCTGCTGTCAGCTCTGCTCAGCTGCCCCATCCTTCAGAGGGCTGCCCGAAGAGTCACCCGAGTCTGACCCATTTGACCGATGCATTTGTATGTTCAAACTACTTGATGATAGTGGTTCCTGTAAGATGCATATGAGAAATTAAAATAGGTACTTTTATCTCTTACCTATAATAGCAAAGTACCTACATTTCTTAATCCATAATAGCCAAACTTCCATTTTTACTGATAATAGCAATATGTAACATGAACTTGTAAACTGTAATATATCTTTTCACTCATAATAGCAACATGCTTGTATTTCTTTACCGATAATAGCAAATATGTAACATATAAAGTAAGGGAGCAAAATATAATTATGAGTAAAAAAGTATAGTATGTTACGATTGTGGGTAAAAAATAATGTCCACTGCTATTATTGGTAAAGAAATGCAAGTATGTTACTATTATGATAAACAATAAAGGGTGAAATACAGAAAAACACAAAATACTTTCACCATCATACATTTTACTGTTCATAAAAAACACTTGTCCAAGTTATGCAGTTTGTTATCAAGGAAAAATACAGAAAACTTTCACCATTGTACCAATTTAGGCAGTGAACTGTTACTTTTTATTGATTTTGCCACCCAACTATTACTATAATAATTGTAAAAAAAAAAAAAAAAACAACAACAGGGTTCTATTAAGTATATATTTTTGGGAAAGAACATGTCACCTGATCAGTAACTTCTGAGCCCTCTGAATGGAAAAGAATAGGGCGGCAACGTTTATCTTCATTCATCAAACTTGAGTTCTGGAAATGGGTGACAAGTGCTGTCTTTCCTTGGATTCGAGCATAAGCCAAGGAAGCAACTTTCTCACTGTTGAACTTCTCCCATTTTTTCCCATTGAATGCCTAAACCAACCACAATTCACATAAATTAATAAATAATTATAAATCAAGATGTTAAACCTTTCTTTCAGTGTATTTAATAAAGTTAAAGATAGTGAAAGGTAGGAAAAAACCTGGTAAAATGGGACTATGTGCGTTGGAGAAAGCATGTTGATAAATGCATAGCCCACATTGCATTTGTTCTGCATCAAATGATGGGAAGTTTGTCATGTTTATTATACCAAAAATAACATATTCAACTAGCAAGAAATGCGTAATATTATACCTTAAAATCGATGGGTAAGTAAAGAAAATCATAAGTTCCACTATGATTTTCATCGATAGCAGCAAGCAGCATTTTTGAAGTATACCTGAAAGTACAATAAAAAAATCAAGCTCAAATCTTTAGACAAAACAGTTGATGGACCAATGTCAATGATACATAAATTGCAACTTTTCGTCCCACTGAAAAAAGAGGAACAAGGCGGGACATGGAGACACCTTCTAGATCTGTCTTCTGTGAAAAGACAAACACCCTCCTCATCCTCATCATCAAAAATATCCCTAGAAAGCTTGTCCGGTCCCATTCTGCCCCGTGTAGCAAATGTTGCTACACAGGACCGAACTCGACAAGCTTTCTAGGGCTATTCTTGATGATGAGGATGAGGAGGGCGTTTATGTCTTTTCACAGAAGACAGATCTAGAAGGTGTCTCCATGTCCCGCCTTGTTCCTCTTTTTTGAGTGAGACGAAAAGTTGCAATTTGTGTACCATTGAAATCAGTCCAATGCACACCAAACACAGTATACATGATTTGAGGGGAAAAACTAGGTCTTACTTGTTAGGAATGTTTTTAATCATCAAAGTTGTTCGAGTATCTTCCCCACTTGTGATTTTATCAAGATCAAGCTGAAACTGTTTCTTACTATCTGTTTGACTTCCATTCTGGTCAACCCGACGATTCCGTCCACGGTCACTCATAGTTTCAGCAATCGTGGGCCCCAACCCGGGATAATGACCGTTTCCAAGAAACATGGGACTAAGCCTTGGACTAAAACTTGGAGAACCATTTTCAACAGACCCATGAGAACCCAAGAACCCTCCTCTATCAATATGACCCAAACCCACACCCACACCCACACCACCTCCAAAAGCTGGTGGACTCATGAACAATGTTTCAGGAGATTCATGATACCTACCAAGACCAAAATGCCCTTCAAACGGGATCCCAGATGGAGCCGATCCAACATGATGTTGTTGATGGTGGTGGTGGTGGTGTTGGACTTGGGTCGAACCAAGCAAAGATCCATGGCGGGCGGTGATAGGGAACCCATGGGTGGTCAGCCCCTTGGATGTGGCAAACGGGTGACCCATGGATATGGATGGTGACCGGGTTCGGGTTGCAATAGGAAACCCATGGTTAGGTGAAGGTCCTTTGGGTTGTTGGGGTTGTTGGGGTTGTTCAGGGTATATATTGGGACTACCCCATAAAAACTGTGGACCCGATAATGTTTCGATTCCTGAACCACCACCACCACCGGTTGAGGTTGAGCCACCACCATTGAATGAGGATAAGGAAATCGGATCATTAAATTGGCTTAATTTGGATTCAGGAAGAGAATGAGAGTGTTGAAATGTGTTTGAATTTCCATTGAAAAGATTTTGTTCAAGATGGGTTCGGTTAGTACGCGTGTGGTCTTTGCCAATTGGTGCTATTCGGGCCGGTTGAGGGTGCAGAATGGAAGCCAGGCCCGGTAGAGTTGGGCTCATGGAGCCCATGACGGGTGACTTGCTTAGACTTTGAAGTGGGCTGTGTTCAATTGGGCTGCCAAACTGTGGCCACACACCTGCTAGGTCAAAATGGTCAAAGAAAGTCAACTCAAAAGTCTCGATTTCAAAACATGTCATAACTCACAAAAAGTCTTTTTACCTGGAGGAGAGTTGGCCATTGAGGGACCCACTTGAAGTCGAAAGCTTCGGGTGTCGTCTTGTTCGAATTCTTGACTCAATTGCAACATCAGGCTAAGTAACAAAGAAAAAACAAATTGTTAAGATCGATATTCACACACACACATTAATAATAATAATAATTGGAAGAAACGAACAAAAAAGAGTAAAGAAAGTAGAAGTAAATGCTTTTATAGAAATCTTTATTATGGTAATGCATACCCTTGTAATCTGCGTAACATACGTCATTCGCTAGGATTATTACTATATTTTTTGAATTTTATAAAGTACATAAATTGAAAAAGGTCGACGCCATATACAGAAAAATACATCAAAAGGTATGCCCTTAAGAGTGATCAACTTTTTCAACCATCTTATTTGTTTTTTTATGCAAATATAAGTACTTTTAGCGAAAACAACACTATTCATTGTCTAGATGAGGAATTTTCAATAAATGGTGGAAATGTAAACTCAAAAGAAACATTTCAATGGTTCACATAGCTAACCACTCATCTATATTCTATCATCAATGTATGTGGTCATATAAGTTAAAAGGCAGTCATTAAAAATGTGAAAACATGTATGAAAGAAAGGCATAAAATTATAAAAACAAACACAATTTTTTTTTAAAACTTACTTTCGGCGGGCTCCACCAGGACGACTAGGTTCAAGCTTTATGCGTTTCCCAGCTATGTCACTCCTGTTCAGGGATCTAAGGGCTGCTTCTGCTGCTCTAACATCATAATATTCAATGAACTTGTGGTGTCTTTTGTGTGGTGTCTCCCTTATCTGTTATTTTGCAACAAAAATAATAACTAAGTGTATATTTTTCAAGATCCCCAATAAATGGTCTAACTATGTGTTAAGTGTGAGCCAAGCTATTCTGTTTCCTTCGCATTGATTGAATTTTCAAACCACTTGGCTTTTTGTTGGAAACAAGTCACCATTCTTGTGAAAATGCAAAAAGAACATGACAGATTGCAACAACAAGCACCTCAGACAAAAAAAATATTGAGTAAATGCTTCACTTAGCAAGAGCTGAATGTAAGAAATAGCAATGTACTTCCATTTATTTGTGTATTATAAAAGCCTAATTTCATTACTTTTTACAGCAGTGTACTTATTAGTTTTTTTCCTGTTAAGACGTATTTTGAAACTACCAATTAATAGTATTGTACTTCCAAATTTTTTCTTATTAGGACATTATACTTTGAAAGTTTTACCCAATGATAAGTTTATAACAGTGAAAATTGCTTTAAAAGTTGGTGACATTCCTATAATTGGGTAGAATTTTCAATACACAAAACTGTAATAGGAAGAAATGAAAGTAGAATATGCTATAATAAACAAATCAATGGAACTACATTATTAACTCTTGCATTTATCTCTTCTTGCAAAATCTATTGTTTTGGCATCTACATAGTAATGATAATTAGTTTGCAATGAAAAGCCAAATCTAATAGTTCAAAACCTTGATCACTCTTTTTTTCCATTAGAAAGAGCATTGGAGAGAAAGAAGAAAATTACCTCTTTAACCTCACCATATGCCCCAAAGATTTGAAGAAGATCTTCACATGAAACCGAAGGATCCAAATTAAAAACAACTAAAGTTCCTTGATTTATATCTTTGTCTGACGGGTTATCCTAGTACACAAAAGAATATATTATATTAACTTACATGGAGAAGAAAACGGAAAAAAGAAAATGAAAATAAAAAAAAATAAAACAAACCTTTGGAATTGAATAGTGAATGTCTAGCTTCCTTCTTCTTAGTGGCTTATTCTGTAATGCACGCATGGCAGTTCTTGCAGCACGAATATCATAGTAAGATATCATCACAAAACCCCTGTGTTTACATGCTGTGTACAGTGTTCGTATATCACCATATTGCTATAAATGAATACAAAAAAACAAAATTAGTAAATGAAATATGTGAAGATTTATCCACAGATGACTTAAGTACTTTCTAGATTCTTCTATAGTAATGCATAAAAGATTCTCTTCATTGATAAATCAACAACAATACCCAAGTCCCATAAAGCCCATAATGATTATATAAAGTAAAGAAGCAGAAGGGTAAGCAGGTAAATCTACAGATACACAAACAATGAAAGCAGATACTAGCAATAAAGCAGAAAGCAGATAAATTTGGCTAAAATTAGGTACCTCAAACAGAGTTCTGAGTTCTGAATCCTCAACATTACTATTTATGTTACGCACGAATAATGTTCTAGAAGGATGTTCTCCATATGGATGCTCGCCAGCAACAGTTGCCACACCATTTGCAAGAGTGTAGTGGGCCACCCCATTGCCAACAACCCCATCAGTCAAACCTACCTTTGACATGCTAACATTTAAGGTATCCATGTCTGATTCAAGTTCCATACCTCCTCCACTTCCAAATAGATCATAATCTTCTAACTCATCTGCACGACTAGGGAAAGTATTGAGGTCAAAACCGTCAATTACACCTGCTAAAAGCTCATCTTCTTCAGGTAACAAGTTTCCAATTGCATGGTCTTCAAGTTCTTCTAGCAAATCATTGCCTTCTAAAGATTGAAAATCATTCTCCGTGTTATTGGATATCACTGCATTTTTTAAACCAGAAAGGAAAGAGTAAGGTGTTGTTTCTTTTTGACTTTAATGGATACAGACTAACAGAGGGTGCATACACTTCTCATGGGGTAAAACTGGTAATGAACTTGAGAAAAGAGTGGTATCACTTGAGGCATCATTATAAGCATCAGATCTAGTTAACATGTCCCTTGCCCCACTTCCAACCACTTTTGAGAAACTCATTGATGTTATCTTTGAAGGACCTGTCACAAAACAGAGTTGGTTGGTTCTCAATGGCCAATGCATTTTACTCATTACAAGTAAATAAACAGAAAATGATTAAGGAACTTCAAGCTTACCAAAAGCAAAATGTTGTGAAGAATGTTGCATTGTGAAACACTCCTGTCATGTAAATTTAAGTCAAAAGTATCAATATCAGCCAACAATAAACAAATTGACAATGTTTACTTTCCTAAGGTTCATCATTGAGATAACTGTGTGATTAACTATCTATCCCTAGGTTTAAATCATTCAAGTTGTAATAATCAGTTTCAAATCGCAGAACCAAACAAACCCTAGGTTTAAAATCTCTCCCGGGTCCTGACATGAAAACTGTGAATGATGATCCAATTAAGGGAACAGAGTTCTAACCTAAATGATTGATGTTTAAGGTGTTTATGTATAATAACTAAAGAACACTAATCTGATTAAATGAACAATCAACTACAAAACTACAAGGCCATATGTTTAAAGTTATAATGAATCATCAGACCACAAAGAAGTTTGAAATGCTTAAACTCAAACTGAAATAAACACATATTTGTACGAAACAGAATTGTGGTAGTCTGATCATCGAGAGATTATGCTTACACACACAAGTACGTGCAAAATCTTTGCATTTAGATGGGGAAAAGGGGGAAACTTGGAGAATTATACAAAAGTAGTGTGAACTGTTCTAAAATTCGCCATTGATAAGCAATAATTGCTTGAATTTACAACAAATCACAACCAATTCGGTGATCCGCAAAAACCCCAATAAGGAATCTGCAATCTGTACACCGATCGCGACATGCAAAGCAATAAAGCCTCGTAATTTCACAATAACAAACAAAAATTATGCTAATCCGAACTAAACCCCAATTTCCCACCCCATAAACTCGTAAGAAATCACAAACCCCGTTTCAGAATAAGCACGAGTATATCAAAAAAATCGAAACCCCAGAAACAATATCAAAAAAAAACGAAATGGGGTTTACGATTTTTACACACAGAAACATGTGTTTTATGTGTGTGTGAGAGAAAGAGGGAAAAAGGGTACCTGGAAAAAGGTCAAAGCAAAAAGAGAAGCGTAGAAGAGAGTAAAGGGTGTCTGAAGACGAGCAAGAAGAAGAAACAAGAATCAAAATCTCATGTGAATCTGCAACAGATTCGACGGGAACATCATCTCCATGATCGGATGACAGAGAGAGAAAGTTTCTTGCTTTTAGATAGAGAAATAGTGGAGGCGTGAGGGGAGAGAACTGTGTGTATATGTATGTGTGTCTCTGTTTTTCTCTCTCTAGAAAAAAGCACAACACAAAAACACGTACGGAATCTATAGATACATATATTGTGTATCTATATGTAGAGAGAGAAAGTTTTGATTGGAGGAACAAGTGAAAAAACTTCAGGGAATGATTGAGAGAGAGATAATATTGTTTATAAACTGTATTTAAATCTGTTTTGGTGTCCGTATGCTCATTTTTATATTATGCAATTACTATTCTGCCCTTGAACAAGGATATATTACCATATCACTTTATTATCTTTCGGAATTATTAAGGAGCAATTAGTTGTAGATTAATAACAAATATCCGAGGTAAGATAGTTTATTACGAAAGTGTATTGATTGAAATTATCTTTTAGTAAAGGCATTTAGGGTGTGTTTGGGATTGCTTTTTGAACATAAAAGTCATTTTTGTAAAAGAACTTTGTCTAAAAGATGGTGTTTAAAATGTGTTTGCCTTGTCTTTTATGACTTTTAAGTGATAAAAGCTAAAAGTCACAAAAAGATAGGAATTCCTATCTTTTCTCCAGCCAACTTTTCCTTCTTGACTAGAAGTTGATTTTAAAAGATCTTTTTAATTTGTCAAACAACTTTTAGTAATTTTTAACTTTTTGAAAAAGTTAAAAGTCAAAAAGATGATTAAAAAGAAATGTCAAACACCCCCTTAATATATTAAAAGTTGTCTAACATGTCTAGATAAATAAATAAATATCTGCAAATCAATTAATATCTATAAATCAAGAACATTTTCATCTCACATCTTTGTTACAAACCTTTCAATTTTAAAAGAATAGGAATGGAACTTATGAAAGCTGTAGTTTTTGTTACTGTCTTGAAAATCGGACTTGACCAGGGTCGGTTTACCAGAATTTTAAAGACCAAAAACTGTTTGTATACAAATCAGTGAAAGTCGTCCGATTTTTATAAAAATCGGTTCAACTGGTACCGGTTCAATCGCTACAAACCGGTTTGTGAGAAAAAACATATGTACATTTTTTCAATTTTTATGTTTCATAAAATTAAACATAAATCTAATTTAATTGGAATTTTGTATACGAGCCGGAACCATGTTTCTTGCTTCTTGCCTCTTTAAAACTTATTTTTTGAGGTTTTTTTGAACTATTTATAATTTTAAAAATAATTATAATGTAATAACGATGTCATCCGTTTTTTGAACATGTCCAACCAGTTGAACCATCAAACCGAGAAGACGACTGTTTCGATGACCGGTCCGGTTATCAAAACCATGGTTCTTGTTTGTGCATTCTGTACATGTAACTTACACTTGGTATTTATATCGTGCATTTTGTACTTGTTCCAAATTGTAGTTCTTGTCACTGTCTTGAAAATCGGACCTGACTTACACATAGTATTTACCAGAATTTTAAGACCAAAAACTGTTTGTATACAAATCAGTGAAAGTCGTCCGATTTTTATAAAAATCGGTTCAACTGGTACTGGTTCAATCACTACAAACCGGTTTGTGAGAAAAAAAATATGTGTGTTTTTTAATTTTTATGTTTCTTAAAATTAAACATAATCTAATTTAATTGGAATTTTGTATACGAACCGGAACCATGTTTCTCGCCTCTTGCCTCTTTAAACCTTATTTTTTGAGGTTTTTTTTAATTATTTATAATTTTAAAAATAATTATGATGTAATAATGACGTCATCCGGTTTTTTGGACTTGTCCAACCGGTTGAACCATCAAACCGAGAAGACGACTATTTCGATGACCAGTCTGGTTATCAAAACCATGGTTCTTGTTTGTGCATTTTGTACATGTAACTTACACTTAGTATTTATATCGTTTGTTTTGATGATAACAAACATAAAACTCTAATTGTATTATAGTAGTAATGTAACATCCTAAAAATTTCATAAAATTTAAACTATTCAAAACAACCCTTTTTCTATAGAAGTATTTACAAAAACCGTTGTTCCCAAAACATTATTTAAAGAAATCAGAATCTGTTTCAACGTAGTTTCCAAAAAGTTCACATTATCAGAGTTTCCCAGAACTCATAAGTCCAAAACACGAGGATGTGTACGGTCACACCTTCACCTTGCCACGATCCACTGAAGTACCTGAAACCATAAACCAAAACTGTAAGCACGAAGCTTAATGAGTTCCCTCAAAGTACCAACACCTATACAGATTACTTATACAAATAACAGCGTACTATGGGTCTAATCAACCATCGGGTTGGAATACCCCAGGTCCTCAACCATCAAGTTGGAATGCAACATACTATGGGTCCAATCAGCTATCAGGTTGGAATACCCTCGGCCCTCAACCATCGGGTTGGAATGCCAACATACTATGGGTCCAATTAACCATCGGGTTGGAATACCCTCGGCCCTCAACCATCGGGTTGGAATGCCAACATACTATAGGTCCAATCATCCTCGGGATGGAATACCCTCGGCCTTTAACCATCAGGTTGGAATGCATCGGCCTGTTGGCTTACGCACAAAGCAGAGAAGCCTCAGCCACCAATCAAACATGTGCACATATAACAGATAATCATATAACGGTCTACAGCCAGACAAACAGATATAACATATCACTAAGCATAACATCATCCTATCTACCAGGATACCGATCCAACAGATCATAATAGCATAGTAACATCCTATCTACCAGGATATCGATCTAACAGATCATAACAGCATAGCAACATGAATAACATAATATCAATCTACTGGGCCGGCATTGGTGCCTTCGACCCACAAGTACAGTGAGGAAAACTCACCTCAAATGCAGAAGCTCCTCAAAAGAAATCCCTAGTTGCTGCCTTGCCGACTTCCCGAGCTATCAATACTAATCAAAACACCCAATTAGCAATTGGGTTCCATGTCATAATCCATAATCCATACTTGGGATAAATGACCATTTTATCCTTGAGACAACATACACCAAAACTGAGGCCCAAAACCAAAAGATCCACAAAGGCCTACTAATGGCCCAATTTTCCGAATTGGGCCCAACCCCATATGGGTCTTATCCTAAGCCCATACTTTCCTTAAATCCAAATCAGGTTATTACAACACCCATCGGGACAACTTGGTCAAGGACATACATCAAAAGTCAAAGTCAACGGTCCAAGTTGATTCAACTCGCCGAGTTATCCTTCAATTTGTCGAGTTTCTCCATCAGTCTGCTCGGATCGAGAAAACCCAAGCCAACTCGTTGAGTTTACCCACCAACTCGTCAATTTCTTCTATTCATCTGAAAATATCGGGGAAAACCGAGCCAACTCGTCGAGTTTACCCATAAACTCGCCGAGTTCGCTTAAAGTCCAAAAGCTTAACTCATTAAGCACCTAATCCATAAAAGGCATGGCCACAAAGCATAGATCTGACTTCCCTGAGCTGGAAAACCACATAAAGTTGCTAACTTTGCGTCCATGCATGTCTAGATGAAGCTCTTAAGCTTCAAATGAACTTAACACTCGACTTAATGCATGCATGACCTCAAGATCCTCCTAAGGTTTGCACCTTTAAGCTCAAGGGTAGCAAAACAAAATCAGATCTGAAAGGATGAACCTTTACACCACTTATCATATCCATAAACTCAAAAAGGAGGCCAAAATCACAATAAAACCCAAATGAGAAGATTTGAGCTATTAATCACCAAGTTCCAGACTTTTTACCTCAAATGGTTGCCAAAAGTGTGATAGATTCCGGATCCCAAAGC